AGACACCACCCACTACAGCTACCACCCTGCATCCTGGCCTGTGGACAGAGCTTCCTGGCTACTGCCCACAACTCCATTCCCAGTCCGTTCTCCACCGAACACATGGGGATATTTTTAATACAAAAATCTGATGGTGTCATCCTCCACCCACTTGAGAGAGGTTTCTTATCATGACTGTGACCTTGTTACCCGCATGTTGGTGAGGGTCCAGCCCACCTCCGCCTGCCACTCCCAACTTTCCAGCTCCCCTTTGCTCGTACCCCGGCCGCCTGCCACAAGCTCCTTCCTGCCTGGTTCGTAGCTACTGCTCTTTCAGGGCTCTGCCTAAACGTTGCCATCTAAAAGATGGCTTCCCTGACCTGACCTCCTCTCCTTCATCCAAATTAGATTTAATTAGGCCTGTCACCACCTCCATTACCATTATTCTCTCTCAGCACCCTGTTTTTCCTCCTTAATATTACCTGTCACAATTAGTAATTGTACATCATCTGTGAGCTCAATGACTTAGTCTGTCTGCACCATCACCACCTCCCCCAGTGCACGTGCAGGTTCCCTGGACAGTGTCTGCGTCTACCTGGCTGGCCCTGCATGCCCCACACAGATGCAGGGCCAGGATCTCAGCCAGCGCCCCCAGGATGGATGGATGAAGAGGCTGAGGAGCAAAGGACTCCTGGTCCCACCTGTACCCGGTGCTGTGCTCAGCACATGGCACTCGCCTCATGAAGGTTCAATGATTTCCAATTGGTTTTGTTTGGCAGTTGCATTGAGAAGGCCACTTTGCCAACACAAGTGATCTGTTTTGTATTGCCTTGGGAGGACGAGCACACCTCAATCCAGAGTCCAGGACACAATGATGCGTCTCTATAAGAGGTGCTTCCCAAGGGTGGCTCTGCTAATGCAGGGCACTGAGGGCAAAGGTGAGAAAATGGAGTCTCAGGCCAGAAGGAGCTTAAAAGATCAGTCCTGTGAAAAGGACAAAACATGTGTTCATCAACAGGTACCTGTGGGTGATCCGCATGGTTCAACCGAGGTAGCAGCATCACCATGATGCACACGATCCCGGGGTGCATGATCACAGTGTCCCCTTCATCTGTCCTGCAGAGAGAGGAATAGCAGGACATCAGACATGAGCTCTAGTCTCTTCTTCTGTTCACAGACCTTGCTGGATCCTTCTTTCTAAGGCAGATCATGGCACCCAACCTTAGTCTACCAGATGCCTAGAGGACCTGGAACTGCTCCATCTCAGCCTAATTTTCCCCAGCTATACAATGGAGTTGAAAATGCCACACTTCCCTCTTAGAGACATGGAATAATGCTTTTGTGCTCATATCACAGCGTCTGGCACATAGCTGATGCTCAATAGAAATCAGTTCCCTGGCCCTCTTCCATTCTCTCCAGATATATGGGAGATGGATAAACTCCCACTTTATATTAAACACACACACACACAGCTTCTGGATCCCTTCAAGATGGTGTAAGTTCAGTCTGCTGTGTGCTTCTCCCCTAAATGCAATTCAAGCCCTGATAGAACTCATAGAGTAGCTCTCTGGGACTCTGAAAAGTAAGTGGCAGCAGAGAAGAAAACCAAACTCCAAGTACCATGGAACTGGCAACGGGTATCCTGGGCTTCCCTGCTCTGGCATCCCCTGGTGTAGATGAGTAAGTGGCCTAAAACCCAGAATCGTGCACCAGTTTCGACAGGATGGAAAGAGCTCCAAGGGAATTCTTCTATTTCTGTTCTGAGGAGTGGGAAAAGAGGCTTCTACAGGTCACAGAATGCAGAGGGAATCTCCTGGGACCTTCTTTGTCTGGTCTCTCCCTTCTGGGCAATTCCAGCATCAGCAGCTTCGGCCGGGCAGGCTCTAAAGCTCTCAGGGGAAAGAAATTTCTCTCTAACCAGAGGAACTGTTGTTCCAAGAGTGTAGGTAAGATCCTTATTGCTTTGTTTTGTCTTTTTCCTCTCCCTGCTCAGCCCCAGGGACAGATGCAGTTTCAGGGATGAGTGGAGAAACTAAAACCCCAGATTCCCATACAGAAGAGAAGGAAGGGGACCTGGGGAGCCAGAAAGTGTTAGGGAGAGAATGAAGAGGATGAGGTTGATAAAATGGGACAACTTAGTTGTGTATTGACCTCTGGGCTTAATTCCCACTGTGCATATGTGGATCTGGCCCTAACCAAGGGGCAAGTGGCGAAACAACAAATCACCCTGCAAAGTCTCTGAAAACTGAACTCATGCTGGACGTATTGACCTCTGGGCTTAATTCCCACTGTGCATATGTGGATCTGGCCCTAACCAGGGGGCAAGTGGCGAAACAACAAATCACCCTGCAAAGTCTCTGAAAACTGAACTCATGCTGGAACCACCATCCACAGAAGGTGGGTAGGAACTTGCAGCCTGAGACCAAATGGGGCAGTTGCCTGCTAAAATAAAATAATCTGCATTCTCCAGAAGATGCCAACAAGAGCCAGAATTCATAAGATAACATTCAAGACATCTGGGTTATAACCTAAAATTGCTCAGCATAGAAAGAACCAGGGAAATCTCAATATCTCACATGGAAAAAGACAACAGGTGTCAATGCTGAGACAACACAGATGTAAGAATTATCAGGCAAAACCTTTAAAGCAGGAATGCAAATCAAAACCACACTGAGATACCATCTCACTCCAGTTAGGATGGCTAATATCCAAAAGACTGAGAACGATAAATACTGGTGAGGATGCAGAGAAAAAGGAACCCTCCTACGCTATTCGTGGGACTGCGAAATGGTGCAGCCTTTATGGAAAACGGTATGGATGGAAGTTCCGCAAACAATTACAGATAGATCTACCATATGACCCAGCTATTGCACTGCTGGGTATATACCCAGAGGAATGGAAATCATGTTGAAGGGATACCTGTACTCCCGTGTTTAATGCAGCTCTATATACAATAGCCAAGAGTTGGAACCAGCCTAAATGCCCATGATCAGATGAGTGAATAAGGAAACTGTGGTTTATCTACATGATTGAATACTACTCTGCTATAAAAAAGAAAAAAAAGAAATACTACCATTAGCAGCAACGTGGATAGACTTTGAGAAGATTATATTAAGTGAAATAAGCTGGGCACAGAAAGAGAAATACCACATGTTCTCACTTATTTGTGGGAGCTAATAAAAATAAATAAATAAATATACAAACAAATAAACGGGGGAAAAAAGACACAACAACTCCTTGAAGTTGTTAGGACAAGTGAACAGATGTGAGGTTGATGGGGAAGAGGGAGGGAGGAAAAGGAGGAATTGGTAAAGGGACACAAAAATCAACTACATTGGGGCCGGCCCGGTGGCGCACTGGAGAGTGCGCCGCTTGGGAGCGCGGAGGCGCTCCCGCCGAGGGTTCGGATCCCATGTAGAGACCGGTTCCCACTCACTGGCTGAGCACGGTGCAGGTGCGACACTGAGGGTTGCGATCCTGTTGCCGGTCCCCGGTACGGGAGTGGCACCGAGGGTTGCGATCCCGTTACCGGTCAGTAAAAAAGACAAAAAGGAAAAAAAAAATCAACTACATTGCATATTGATAAATTAAAATTAAAAAAAAAAAATAAAGCAGTAATATTAACCAAAGTCCAAGAAGTAAGAGTGGACACTTTCGAAATGAATGAAAAAGAAGAAAATCTCAAGAAAGAAATGGAAGAAATAGAAAAGAATCAAATGTAAATTCAGGAACTGAAACATGCAATAACTGACAAAAAACTCACTGAACGAGAACAAATGGAAGAATGAGAAGAGAGAAGGAAAAGCCTGTGAACTTGAACATAGATCAATAGAAAGGGCCCAACCTGAACAAAGAGGAAAAGGATTTTTTAAAATGAAGAGAGCCTCAAGGCCATGTGTCAAAGGATCTAACATTCACGTCACCGGAGTCTCAGAAGGAGACAAGAAAGAGCGTGGTGTAAAGGAAAATGTGTTTGGGAAGCTTTAACCATTCTTTCCTCAAATTTGCTGAAACACATAACCTTAAAGATAAAAGAGGCTCAGCAAAACCCAAACAAAATAAACAAAGAAACCCACGCCCAGGCACATAATAAACTGTTGAACCCGAAAGACAACGAAAAAACTTGAAAGCGGCCAGAGAAAAACAACACATTACATACAGGGGACAACTATTAGAATGACTGTGGATGTTTCCATGAGAAAGCAGAAGGCAGGGAAAGAATACTCTTAAAGTACTGCAGAGAAAATGAAGGCAAAATACATGCATTCCCAGGTGAAAGGAAACAATTTCTTGCCATCAGACTTGTTCAAAAAATAATACTGTTAAAAGTTTTTTAGGGGCTGGCCCAGTGGTGCACTGCTGTAGTGCGCCGCTTGGGAAGTGCGGCGGCGCTCCCGCCGAGGGTTCGGATCCCACATACAGACCGGTTCCCACTCACTGGCTGAGCGAGGTGCGGGAGCAACACCGAGGGTTGCAATCCCGTTGCCGGTCCCGGTCCGGTACGGGGGCGACACTGAGGGTTGCGATCCGTTGCCGGACACGGAAAAAGACAAAAAGGAAAAAAAAAAAGTTTTTTAGATAGTATGGAAGTAAGAAGGAAAGAAATAAGAAGGAAACTTGGTACTTCAGGAATAAAGAGAGCAATCAAAATGGTAAATATTTGTATAAATATAAAACACCATTTTTTTTCCCTCCTCTTAAGTTCTTAAATACACGTGTCACATAACAACAGGGATACACTCTGGGAAATGCATTGTTGGGTGATTTCATCACTGTGGGAACACTATGCAGTGGACTTACATGGTGTAGCCAATGGCTTCCGGGCTTCAAACCTGTACAGCCTGTCACTGTACTGAATACTACAGGCAACTGTAACGCAATGGAGAATATTCATGTATTTAAACATATATAAACATAGAAAAGGTACAGTAAAAATACAATATAAAGGGGGTTTTGTGTGAGTGTGTGTGTTTTTAAGTGGTACACCTTCCATGAATGGAGCTTATTGGACTGGATGTTGCTCTGGGTGAGTCAGTGAGTGACTGGTGAGTGTGAGGCTAGGACACCACTGTACACTCCTGTAGGCTTTATAAACACTATACACTTAGGCTACACCAAATTTATTTTTAAAAAGTAATTGCACTACAACGTTATAATGGCTCCAACATCACTGAGGTGATAGGAATTTTCAGCTCCATCATAATCTTATGGGACCTNGTCAAAGGATCTAACATTCACGTCACCGGAGTCTCAGAAGGAGACAAGAAAGAGCGTGGTGCAAAAGAAAATGTGTTTGGGAAGCTTTTAGCCATTCTTTCCTCAAATTTGCTGAAACACATAACCTTAAAGATAAAAGAGGCTCAGCAAAACCCAAACAAAATAAACAAAGAAACCCACGCCCAGGCACATAATAAACTGTTGAACCCGAAAGACAATGAAAAAACTTGAAAGCAGCCAGAGAAAAACAACACATTACATACAGGGGACAACTATTAGAATGACTGTGGATGTTTTCATGAGAAAGCAGAAGGCAGGGAAAGAATACTCTTAACGTACTGCAGAGAAAATGAAGGCAAAATACATGCATTCCCAGGTAAAAGGAAACAATTTCTTGCCATCAGACTTGTTCAAAAAATAATACTGTTAAAAGTTTTTTAGATAGTATGGAAGTAAGAAGAAATAAGAAGGAAACTTGGTACTTCAGGAATAAAGAGAGCAATCGAAATGGTAAATATTTGGATAAATATAAAACACCATTTTTTTCCTCCTCTTAAGTTCATAAATACACGTGTCACATAACAACAGGGATACACTCTGGGAAATGCATTGTTGGGTGATTTCATCACTGTGGGAACACTATGCAGTGGACTTACATGGTGTAGGCTATATGGTATAGACATTATAATCTTATGGGACCGCTATCATATGTGCTCAATGGCTTCCGGGCTGCAAACCTGTACAGCCTGTCACTGTACTGAATACTACAGGCAACTGTAACACAATGGAGAATATTCATGTATTTAAACATATCTAAACATAGAAAAGGTACAGTAAAAATACAATATAAAGGGGGTTTTGTGTGTGTGTGTGTATTTTTAAGTGGTACAACTACCATG